CCACCAGCTGCTCCTTGGAAACCCTATGGGGCAGTTCTACTGTGTCCTATAGGGTCACTATGAGTCACAATCCACTCCATGGCAACAGGCTTGATTTTTTAAATTTATATATAAATATATACAATATATAATATGTTTACATATCAAGATATGTTTATAATAGAATAATATATTAAAGTAAACGTTATTTATAATTGTTTATATATAGGCAGGTTATATTATCCATGATTTTTAACTTCCAAGTAGAAAAGGGAAAAGTCCTTGCTATAACAAGGGGAGTGTTGGGACTGATGTGACAGGAAGCCTCTGGAGGAGACCACCTCTGAATTCTCTCCTAGCCTCTGGCAAAGCCCACCCAGCCAGGGGTCAGTCACCTCTGCGCAGGGCTTGCAGGCTCTGCCGGGCGTGGCGGTGGAGCTCCTCCACGCAGGGTGGCCTGGTGGCCGGGAGGAAGATGTTTCTCTGCTGGTGCCATGGTGCTCGGTAGTACACGCTCAGCTTACTCTCGATGTCCAGGTTGGAGACGGCTGCAAGAGAAAGAGAGAAATAGGGGGTTATACATTAGTGTCTTTAAGCTGTGCTGTTGGCAGACTCTAGGGTGAGGTGGGAGTGGAGTCTGGGTGGCTTAGGCTGCTGCATTCACATTAAGAACTAAGTCCCGGCTGGAGGAAGGTTTGAACTTTACAGTATAATCTGCCCAGAGCCAAGAAGTGGGAGACCCTAGGACACCAGCCATCTGCTTTGTGACTCACTAACTTCCTCTCCACTTTTACTTCTCACCTTCTCTGGTAGCTCATCAACCTGGAGTAGCCCCTGGCTAACCATGCTTGGGGTGGGGGTGGGGGTCCTGCCTTCCAAGAAAGCAGAGAAAAGCTTCAGGGATAAGTCCAAAGGGCTGTCCTAGCTCCAGTCTTCAGGCCGTGGGCTCTCAGAATTAGCCCATTCCTTGCCTTCTCTGTTTCTTGTGGCCCTTGACTCCTGACCTCAGTATTTATCCTTATTCTGCCTTCTACCTCCCAACTCAGTTGCCTGCCATCTTTCAAAGCATTGCCTCAGTTTCCCTGGTTTCACCCACCGGGGAGCAACCATTGCAGGGGTGATGGGTGTTAAGGGAGGGGAAGCCCAGATAGTGCTGCTGAGGAGAGGGGTGTGAGCCCTCAGATCACCTGAAAAGCCTCCGTCCCCCAAAGTGCAGCACTTCACCTACTGTTGTCGTCTCATTGACACAGTGAGCCAAACCATCCTAGGACAGAAGTGACTCCAGGCGCCTAAGATCAAATCTCAGGGAAGCCAGCTCTTAGAAACCAGGAGGGTTCTGTTTGGGAGGTTACTACACAGGAACTCATTAGCCCCATGGCAGCCTGTCAGCCTCTGGTGGGTGAGAACAGCCCAGTCTGCTCTGCCCTCCAGACCCACGTTGACGGCGGAACTAGACCCACCCTGTTCCTCTGTCTCATCGCCTCTTTCTCTTTTTTCCCATTGTGTGATTTTGGGGTGCTCTGCCTACCAGTTTGCCCCTGTGCCCCAAACAGGCTTTGGTTCCTTTCTTACCCTTTTCATTTTGAAGGCTTATCTACCATTTCACTTAGTCTGAGAAGCCTTACATGGAACATGATACACCATAGGTAAAGCCGGATGACAAATGGAAAAGAAGGGAGGATAATTTCGTGGAAGGGGAATAGAAGAAAGAAAACTGGAAAAAAAATGCATTCTTTTGATAATTCATCCCCCTCTGACTACTGCATTAGTGACCAGTTATTTGGAGTTTTGGTTTTTAATGCAACCTTCAGTAGTGGTTTGTTTTTGTTTTTTTTTTTTTCCTAAAATAATGCATCATAACTGCAAGAATTACCAGTAGAAACGAAGCTATATTTCCATTGTGATCCAGACAGGCAGGCCCCTGAATAGGGCCCAGGTGCCTCCTTTGGCCTAAATTTCACCCCCTGCCCACTGCAGTTTCGCATAAGCCAGTAGTGCTAATCCAGGGTTTCTCCACCCCAGCACTTTTGACATTTTGGGCTGGGTAATTTTTTGTTGTGGGGAGCTGTCCTATGCATTGTATAGCAGTATCTCTGGCCTCTACCAGCTAGACATCAGTAACACATAGCTGCATTTGGTGACAACCAATAATGTCTCCAGACATTGGCAAATGTCTCCTGGGGGCAAAATTGTACCCGGTTGAAAACCATTAGGCTAATTGGAAGGATATGCAGATTTGATCTTTAGCTTTATAACTCTATGATTCAGCTCACATATATCTAAGGGGTGCCCATACACATGTATCCTGAAGTGAAATAATTCATCCATTTAGACACTAATGAGTGCAGTGTTAACCATATTGTTAGGTACCAAGAAACAAGAAGATTACAATACAGTCCCTGAATTTGAGGACACAGAAACAAATATTAACAGTACAGTGTGACAAAGGCCATACTTACTGTGGTTGGCTGAATAATAGCCCCCTAAAATATCCATGTCTGAGTCCCCAGAACCTGTGAATGTTACCTTATATGACAACAGGGACTTTGGAGATGTGATTAAACATCTTAAGATGGGGAGAGTATCCCAGATTATCTGGGTTGGGCCTGATATAATCACAATGGTCCTATAGGAGGAACATACTAGTAGTTAGAGTCAGACAGAAGGTCATGTGACAATGGAAGCAGAGGGACAGAGAGAGATTTAAAGATGCTAGGCTGCTGGCTTTGAAGATGGAAGGAGTCTATGAGCCAAGGGATGTAGGCAGCCTCTGGAAGCTGGAAAAGGCAAGAAAAGAGCCCCTAGAAGAGGCCAGCCCTGCCACCACCTTGACTTTAGCCCAGTGAAATTGATTTCAGACTTTTGGCCTCCAGAGCTGTGAGAGAATAAATTTGTGTTGCTTTAAGCCACAAGTCTGTGGTATTTTTGTTATAGCAGCAATAGAAAATGAATACACGTATAATGGTTATCAAGTTCAGGCCTGATAATCAGTTGGGTAGCCCAGATACACAACAAGTCCCAGAGGGCACCAGGGGAGGTATCCCAAGGAAGGTGACCTTGTATGCTGGAACTTGAAGGAAGAATAGGAGTTTTCAAGGAGGAATCAGAGATGGACATTGTGGGCTGAGGAAAGTGCATGTGCAAAGGTACTGGGAGGGGTGTGTGAAGCTTTCACAACCATGTGTGGCAGCCCTGTGGGCAGACTGGACCGCTAGAGCCAGGGGTAAATGAGTCTTGTCTTAGAATACATAGCTCACGACAAAGATGCTGAAGAAACATCACATGGACAAGGTCAAGGGGCAAGCCCCATGCCTGTAAAACAGCACTGTCCAGTAGAACTTTCTGAGATGATGGAAATGCTCTATAGCTGTGCTGTCCAATACGGTAGCCACTAGCCACTTTGGCTATTGAGCACTAGTGAATGGGGAACTGAATTTCTTATTTTATTTAATTTTAATTGATTAAAATGAAAAATTTAAATAGCTAGATGTAGCTAGTAGCTATTATATTGGACAGCACAGCTCTCAAATAACTATATTGTTGTTGTTGTTAGTTGCCATCGAGTCCATTCTGACTCATGACGATCCCATGTGTGCGGAGCACTTAACCATTTGCATCACCCAGGTCTGTTATGTTCTCTCATCTTCCACTACAGGGCAGATTATTCCCTTTGACCTAGGTTTATTTTCCCTGAATTTTAATCTCCAGGAAGACTTCAAACTCAAGAATTAGAAATTCCAGGATTATCTTCCTGGGTAGGGGTCCATGGAGACAAGAAATAAAGACAGCAATTTTTCTTTCTCGAACTACTCTATAACCTCAACCGTCTCCTTGGAAACCATATGTGCTTAGTGAATCAGTCAGGCGTCACTGAATCCTGGGGGCAAGAGAGCCTAGGAGGAATCACTGAGGCAGAAGGCAACCTCTTCAGACCTCAGACTAGGCGGGGAGGCTTTAGGGTAGAAAGGACTGTGGGGTAGAAAGAGAGGGTCATATCTGGATCAGAGCTTTCCCTTCTCTCGTGTGTAAAGTAGGGGGAGTTCTGAAGACAGAGGCTTTGTTTAGCCACCCTTAGAGGAATGCTCTGGTTCAGTGGCTGGAATTGACAAGAGTTCGCCTCTCCCTGGACAGAGGGGTCAGCTCACACCCAACAGGGCAGAAGTCATTAACAAACCCAACAGAGGTGACCGTGAATTCATGTGCTAGTGACAGCTGGGAGAAGGTACAGAACAGGAAGCTTGCCTGGTGGAAAGGGAGTGGGGGCAGAGTTCAGTGGGCAGTCCCAGAAGTAGAGGGGGTTCTGAGCGGCCTTCCCCCAGGCCCATCCCTTCTGGAAGGCAGGAGCCAGGATGCCAGTCTGGGCTCAGGTGACTCAGGGTAAACCAGAAGACTCTTATAGTCCCTCATACCCTCAGCACTGCTGACCAGAAGCTCAGGGTATTAACTTTTGATAGATCCTCAGAAACCAGGTCAAGTAGCCATGGATGCTCACTCTCTGTATGGGGAAGAACTGAGCTCCTGCCCATTATCTCAGTGTTGATCTAAAGAAAAGACTCATCAGAAATGTTAGTCAAAAACCCATTCCTGGGCTCCAACCCAGACCTCTTCAACCAGAAGTTCCAGCAGAGAGGCCTAGTAGTCTGTATATTTGAAGAATGGCCCCCAGATTATTTTTTATCATCAGGCAAGTTTGAGAAACATAAAATGTGATCTGATGATGCCTCCTTAGGAGCTTGCGGGAGTGATGGGAGATGAGCAACATGGGAGCAGGGAAGAGACTGCTAAAAATGGAAACATCCATGGCTCATTTTCCAAGTAGCTCTTATGACCCAGGTACAGTGCTAGGTGCTGGGACACCACACAGAGCAAAACACACAAGAATCCCTGCCCTCAGGGAGTGTATATTCTCTGGTTTGGTGAGAAGATGGCTTGGATGTGATTGCACCTGGAAGCCATGGATTGGGAGAGATGACCTCCAGCAGACGCTCCCTGTCTCACTTCTATACGATTCCCTAGAGATGGGCTAAGACCTCTAGACTCGGGAGACCCCAACCACTGCAAGATTATAGCCCCAGTCCTCCAGCTCTGCCTTTCTGTCATAGGTAATTCCAAATTAAAGACTAAATCAGCATATCATGAAATAAGTATAAAGAAATGCAGCAAAATTCTCTTTCCTCATTATTAAATATTATATCAAGTTATTTGAAGAAAGCATTTCTTTTTGGTGCCCCTGCTTCGCTGGGGCCCTAAACACATTCCTGCTGTGCTGACTGGGCCTTCCAATGCTGAGTTTCTGGGCTGCTAAACCCTGCCCACTGCTCAGGACTGTGGGTTCCCAGGTGCGAAGACTGACGCGTGGGTTCCAATGCCAGCAGCCTAGTCATAGTGCCTGGGAGGACCCAGCTTCCACAGTGACAGCCTTCAGGGCTAGGAATTCTCACCTCTCCCCATCCAAAATCTTTTTTCTTGATCTGCTTAGCAGCTATAACGTATTTCTGCCATGCATTAGCAGGTGAACATTTCACTCATCAGTTGCCACGCTAGTGTT